GGGGGAGGGGGGAGGAGAGTAGAAGCTATAAGTTCGGCCGAACCCAAGTAAATCATTAAATATGTACAACAACAACAACAACCCAGTGAATTCCCAACAAGTGAGGTCTGGGGAGGGTAGAGTGTACCAGAGCTTACCCCTACCTCGGAGAGTAGGGAGGCTGTTTCCAAAAGACACTCGGCTCAAGAACAAATTGTTAATTTAGAACCTGGTAACTTAAAAGATTTAGAATCCCGAACTCAAAAGTTTCAAAATTTTTGCTTTCTTTTGAGTGGGTGTTATTAGAATAGATTGGGTACATCTTAAGGAGCTTGAATCTCAGTTTTGTATGATTTGGTGAGAGGTGGTTTGAATTGAAAATTCGAAGTAAAAACTGAACATGAAAAAAATTATATGTGTATCACATATGTATCAATTTTGTATCACATGTATACCTATGTGTGAGATACATGCGTGATACTTGTTTGATACATGTGTTGCAGAAGAATTTTTTGAACTCGATTTAATTATGAATTTTGATACAAAACCAGTTCAAATCACCTCCAATCTTCCTCAAATTTTGTATATTGACTTATCTATATGTTTTCAATGAATTTCAACTATACCCATCGAAAAAGTTCCTTTTTTGCTTAGATTTTTGGAATATTGTATATTTTTTTTGTATTTCATCACCTTATTTGTTACCTCATCCATGAAATTTTCTTTCCGTCTTGCATCTAAAGTTGCTAATCACGCTTAAAAATATGGAAGGTGATTTTTGCATGTGATTCTTTGAGAGAAAGAACCTTATTTATTTGATTTTTCAATTTTGATATGTACTTGGCTAGTTTTGGCAAGTCTATGACTAATGGCTAGAGGTTGGTAAGTTGAGACTTATTTGGGACATTTGTGTAAGTTTCTCTATATTGTATAGGTTATATTCAATTGTCTCCTCCTATTCAAATAGGCATCGAGATCTACTTTAATAATGTCAAGGACCCTATTGATAATTATAGGAATGAGATGTATGTAAATTTCCCTCAAATAGAAAGTATTGGTGGCATCATTTTAAGTTAGAGTTAAACCCTAAAATCCCCTTAAACTATCATATTTTTATTAATTTCCTACTTAACTATTCGTTGTCACCAAAAAAACCCTGAATTATATTGCCATTCATATTAAAACTCCTTCATTGCTAACATGGCATAATGTGTGTAAATACTCCCTTGGGAGCACGTGGCAGCTGAAAAAAGCCATCAAAATGGCCCACCTGGCATAAAATAATGGCTAATTAGCCTAATCCTCTTTCAAATTTATTTTTTTAATAAATATTTTCCTTATTACACTTATATCCATCTTTCCTCCTTATTTTTTCACCATTCTTCCTTATTATTTCACCTTTCTTCTTTATTTTTCACCTTCTTTTTCATTTTTTAACCCTTTTTCTTTAGTTCTCCATTTGGGTTTCCTCCGGAAAAAATTCTTCATTTCTTGTTTCCTCTGAAATGATTTATTCTCTTTCTTGTTTTTGTCTTCTTTTATGTCTTACACATATTGTTGAAAGGATACCAATTTAGATATTCTTATTAAACTCAACACCTTGTAATCTGGAATTAAAGAATGTAATTGCTGGTCAATTAATTTTTTATTTGCGAAATTTTATTTTGTGTAATATTTTCTTTATAATATAAGATGATCTTTAAGAAATGCAACACCATATGCCTTTATATATATTTTTGTTATGCTATAAAGTGAATATAAGTAAGGACTTATCAATTGGAGTCTAGCATACAGCACAATCACAATTAAACCTAAAATTAGTATAGTACATTAGATATTATTTTGGCCAAAACTCATAGAATTAATCAATAATCCGGGAGTAATACATCATGAGTAAACAATATAAAAAACTTTGAACAAACCATAAGTTAATACAGTTAGACATATGTACCTTTAAAAGTCCAACATGAAGTTTTAATATATAAGGGAATATAGTTCATGGGGATTTTGGAGACACCAGATAATTTAAGTAGGTAACTGACAAAAAAGTGATAGTTTGAGCGGGTTTTAGGCTGAGTTAAATAGCCACGTGTAGTGCTACATGGCACGTTTTTAGATAATTAGGAGCGTGTACTAGACGCACCTCTAAGAATGCAATGAGGAATTTTTAATATGAAGGGCAATATAGTTCAGGGGGTTTTGGGAACGCCAAATAGTTTAAGTTAAAAACTGACAAAAACATGATAGTTTAGGGAAATTTTAGGGTATTAACTGTTTAAGTTATTGCATAGAAGTTCGCAATTATCTCTTTATAGTTGTATGGATCTCTAAAAGAAATTTTGGCAATCTTTCGAATTCAATATCTATTGGAACTTTGGATTTCTCTTGCTAGTGTTTATTGTAAATCTCTTTTTCCATCACTAATACTTAAAAATATTAAAGATCCACGATTATAATAAATATTTTTCCTTCAATTGGTTACCGCATGCATTTTAGACAGAGACAAAAATCAAGTCTAATTTTGTACGTATTGATTTCCAATTCATCAAGCGCAAATACTAAGAAACTATTTAATATTTTGCATTCGCTTGTTGCAACTAAAAAGAAAAAAAGGCTAAAATTATCCCTCTACTATTGAAAATTAGTCACATTTACACCCGTTTTACTTTCCGTCCAAAATCATACCTATCGTTAGTATAATATACAAGTTTGTCCCTAACCCTAACAGATGTCCAACATGGCACCGAGACCCCCATAATAATTTACCAACTAGGGAATTCTTGACCCATTCTTTTAGAAGCCCGTCCCACCCTTATAAAAACCCGCCCGACCCTTATAACCCGTTAATTAGTCTCATTAAAATAGTCCCAACCCGTTTTAATTGTCAAACTTTCAGTTGCCGCTAGAAAAAAGGAAAGAGCTCTCACCTGCCCTCTTCACTATACGTTCGTCTTCATCGTTGGATGTATATGAAGGTACCAATTTTCGTCTTAAAAACTGTAAATTGGCGTTCATTTGCTTTGTTTTTGATATCAACTGAAGCATATCGTCTCATTGTTTCAATTTAGAGCTAAACGTAACATAAGGTTTTCGATTTTTTGTTTCTTTGACTAGGGTTTTGAATAATCCGTTTATATATGTATTTTTTAGTTACGAGGTGTGTCTATTTGTTGTTGTTTTTGTTTGCATGTGGTCTGTTCATACTCGATTTTAAACCCTAAATTTGTTTTCCTTCTTTTGGTCTTTATTACTGGAGGTGGTTTGTGGATTATTCTTTTGTAGTAGAATGATCCCTGTATACGGTAGAAATCGGAGAGCTCAATTTCTAAGACTAGATTACACTCTGAGTCCGAGTTCTGGAAGCTCGAAGTAAGAATCAAGCCAGGCCCAGATAAGCGCACCTCGAGAAGCAAATCGGGGATCCGTCATGACCTGTCTCGAGGGCAGTACAATCTCGAAGACACTCAAGAAAGAGCGGAAATTTTTCAAGGACACGTGGGTTAGGGCATAAGTTATAGGATAAGATCTGTACGAAATAGTACAAGTTCGTACTAGGTCGTTATACAGCTGTACCAATAGAATTTTTCATCATAATTGGAAATGTACCATATTAGGGTTTTTCCCTCCTATATAAAGAGGACCCCAATCATTTGTAAGGATTATCTCATTCTCTC